CTGCATCATTTTAAAATGGCTCCTATCAGCAGGCAGAGATTGCATGGAGGCCCGTACACATTTCAGTTTTTTGGGAGTGGGGGGTGGGGGGGTTGGCCTTGAGCCAAGCTGTTACCCTCATTCCCACATCCAGAAGATTTGCCCTAACAAAGCAGGCTTTCTAATGCCCTGTGCAGCAGAGAAAGAAGCTCTGAGCGTGAAAGACGGAGCTCTCCACTGCTGCCATGAATGCTCGCTCTCTCTTTTCAGACTTTTTTGCCTTTCCCAGCTTTTGTCCAACTCCTCATCCTGCAGGCTTCCAGCAGATCTGCCCGAACTTGTTAGAGATCCATGTTGGCAGTGAAGGAATGCTGAAAGGCTGAGGAAATGGTGTTTCCCAAAGTAACGACTGGCAGCAGAATCATGGAGGCACAGGGCCCCAGGTCAGGACAGGGATGACCCCTGAAGCGCCGTCAGTGGGACTTTAATCTGCTCTGCATCAGACAACCATCCAGTAATGTGCTTTTCTAACAAACAGTGGAGGGACTGATTGTTTAGCTGTTTTAAGCAGAAGCCTTAAAAAAATCCACCATTTTGCAACAACTATAACAGTTTCATTTCAAAGCGGAACAGCTGGGCGTTTTTCTAGATTCACAGCAAACTATAAGTCTATAAAGTATATATAAAGCAGGTATCAGGAAAAAACGCAAATCAGAGAAAACTGCAGATGTGTTGGAGGTGAAGTTGTCCTTTACTTTGTAAAATACATATAAATGTATTTTACAAATATTACGATGATGATGAGAAGCAGTGATGCAGCCATTTTTCCATATTATTGAGAATCTTCTGTATAAACTGGAGCGAAACATCGGCTGGAAGCTATTAGCATCTTTATTCTGCAGGTGTTCACTGCTTATTGAAGCATTCAGCAGCCGTGCCCTGAGGTCGCATAAGGTGCAGCGCCGCACCCTTTGTTTGCTCTCCATGGTTAATGTTTGCTTTGATTTGATAATTTAATTCAGTGTATTTATATAGCGCCAATTCACAACACACGTCATCTAAAGGTACTTTACAGTTCAAACAGGTCATCCAGTCAAATTGAAGATGATATTTCTCTCCAGGATGGAGTCACAGTCAAACAGGAACAGACCAGATGAAGCTACTATGAGAAAAAGCAGAGAGAGCAGAACGTTAGAGATTGAACTAACAGATTCTGCAGAGTGGGAGAATAGAGATAGAATGAAGCAGAATGATGAAAAAGGGGTCCCTATGTCCTCCAGCAGTCTAAGCCTATAGCAGCAGAACTATAGAGATAGCTCAGGATAACCTGAGCCACTCTAACTAGAAGCTTTATCAAAAAGGAAAGTTTTAAGCCTAGCGTTAAAAGTAGACAGGGTGTCTGCCTCACGGACTAAGGCCCCGTCCACACGAAGTCAAAACGAACACGAAACGCTAATATTTTCCAGAACGTTTGTCGTAAAGACGGAGACGTAAAATAAATGTGATCGTCCACACGAATGCATGAAAAAGCTGCAAAATGTATGCCAGGCCTGTAAGTGGCGCTGTGGTGCCAAAGCAAAAATAGGCGACGAAATGTTGGGCATGCGCACTAATATTTATACATGGTTGCCCTGCGGGTCCATTTTGGTGGTTCAGTCAAATTCAGGTGCTGAACTATGTGGTCGATATTGCTCTGTTCTTCCTGGAGATATTCCAGAAGAAGAAGATTCTGTTGTAAGCCCGACAGCAGGGTGAGTAGCATGAGCAGCAACCATTCAACACAGTACGGCGCCATTGTTGTTGTGATACTGTGTCGCGCATGCGTGTTTAGAGGCGACGCTATGACGCATGCGTGTAAAAAAAAAAAAAATGCGGTCAGAGCTTAAAGATGGAAACGCGAAAACGGCGTTTCAAAATCTTCCCACTCTGAAGGCTTAATAAAAAAAAGATTGTTTACAGACCCCCGAAACGCCGGCTTCGTGTGGATGAGAGGCTGGTTTGGTGAAAAATTAGTGCGTTTAGGCCAGGGTTTGACTTCGTGTGGACGGGGCCTAAAACTGGTAGTTGGTTCCACAGGAGAGGAGCCTGAGAACTAAAAGATCTGCCTCCCATTCTACTTTTAGAAATTCTAGGAACCACTAGTAAACCTGCAGATTGAGAGCGAAGTGCTCTGTTAGGAACATAAGGAACAATCAGATCTCTGATATCAGATGGAGCTTGGCCATTTAAGGCTTTATATGTGAGAAGGAGGATTTTAAATTCTATTCTGGATTTAACAGGAAGCCAATGAAGAGAAGCCAGGATAGGAGAGATATGATCTCTCTTTTTCATTTTCATCAGAACTCTGGCTGCAGCATTTTGGATCAGCTGAAGGCTTTTAAACATTTCTTTTCATTTTAGCTGAGATTAATGTGACATTTGTTACATTAATCTAAAGCAATAAAGTAGGGATGCACGATATAATCGGCCCCCTATCGGTATCGGCCTTAAAACTGAATATCGAACATCGGCCACCCCAACGATATTTAACCCGATATTTGATCAGCTTCTTAGTTTCTAAAGTCTAAAAAAAAAATATTTAAAATACTACTTCTTCTTCTTCCTCAAAAACTTCTTTTTTACAGACTTAAAAACTTCTAAAGACGAAGGAAAAAATATTGATCCATTAAAATATCCCAATATCTTCATATGCTGATATATTGCCATTTAAAAACACCATATCAATCTCTTTTACTAATGAAATATTGCTATATGTCATCGTTATGCTACGAAATCCCCTGAAAATTCACCAAATGTTGCCATATTTTTATATGTTGATATATTGACGCGGTATCGATCTAATTTACTAACAAAATCTCACAAGAATTTGCAAAATATCACGAGAGTTTGTAACAGAACGATGAAATTTCACCAGATTTTGAAAGTAAAATAGATCGATACCGCGTTTTTAAAAATCGATTTGATATCAGCGTATGAAAATATATTTGAGTTTATTATTTTTCAAAGTGTCAGAAATGGATAACAAAACTGCTATTTTCAATGACTACTTATTTTTGTCCAGCTTTAACATCGGTATCGATATCGGTTATCGGCTACATGAGTTTTAAAATATCGGCATATCGGATATCGGCCAAAATCCCAATATCGTGCATCCCTACAATAAAGGCTTAAAATAAAACCTGGCATCACATATCGGGGATCAGGATGTCGGAATAATCTGTACTGGATCGGCTTTAAAAACAGCATCGGCCAATCTCCACTGTAGATGTTTTTATCAGAATCAAATCAGACTCTGGGTTTGTGACGGTAGATAAACGACATCACAAAGCTCGCATAGATCTAGATTTTTAAGACAGTGGAATTAATCAATAAAAACTACAGAAGTATATTAACCCTTTCACGTGTTAATTTATGATTAACTCAGTCAAGATTTTTTTTTACTGTTTTTATACATCCTTAGGTACGACAGTGTGTCAGAGCCAGGCTATATTTATTTTTTTTTTTATACGAGAATAAAGTTGAAAAAATGACGAGAAAGAAGTCATCATAAAGCAAACCATTTCAGAAAGAAAGCTTCCAGCTCAGAGTCGTTCTGATACAATAACTTCACATGATGCTCCACATTCCTCATTTTAGGGAAGACGGAGCTGCTTGGAAGAGTTGACATAAAATACAACTTTACGAATTTTATTCTCATAATATTCTCATATTTAGAAAGAAAAATCTGTTGCCTGGTCCTAATCTTTATTCTGTCAAGAAAAATGTATCTGTCCACTCCAGAGTACTTAATGCATCTTATACAGTAAAAAAAAAAATCAATATACCCACAAAGTATAGATATAGCTACGGATATACTTGTAATGCAGTTTTCCCGTTGTAATATGGTATTCTGTTGGAATGTTTTTTTCTCTGCTCCTCGTAGCGACCAAAATATCCAAGGTGTTTGGTATTTTTCCCTGTGCGTCAGCCATCTTGGTTTCACTGCCTTTTTTTCAGTGCAATGATCAACAAATGGGATTCTTCTGTATGGGATGTTTAACGGTCTGATTGTTTTTTACTCTCTTCTGGATCAAGAAGCAGTTTTTTAATTGGATTTAGATTCTCTGCATGGCCTGAGAGAAGAGTTCAGTTCAGTCGTTAATGGCTGTGTGCTGAGTTACTCCGTTTTACCACAGCGCCCCCTCTGGTCGGAGATGAGGGAATGGTTGGTGTCTTGGCGCTGAAGCCGGGCAAACATTGTACAATTTTTTTTTCAATTGTTGCTCGCAGCTACAGCTCAAACTGTACGTCTAAAAACCAGGTGGGACTCAGCTCCGCAGTGAGATGGCGCTACTCGGACTCGTCTATCCAGAAACCAACCTAGTAGAAGAGGAATATAAAGCTCACTAGAGTGAAACGCGCTGCCTTGGATATTTGGGCAATTTTGTGCTGAAAGCCCTAAAAAGAAAAGTCGATGACATATTTGGATAAAGACATGGCTGAGCTACGAGGCTACTACGGTCTGTCAGTTTGAAAGAAAGAACTACTACAAAAAATCGTAGAGTGTATGCCCGGCTTTAGGGGACTGGATCATAGAGTGAACCGATGAGGCCCCCAGTTATCGTCGTAGTATTTGTTTGATCCTTTCCAGTCCATAAAACCAGCAGACTCAAAAGTGGCTGCATTAGAGGACAGCTGCCTGGGCGTGTAAGCGATGCCAGTACTCCCAGTGCACCCAGTGTGCTGTTGGTATGGAAGTATCAGCTTTGTGTTTTGGGGCATAAACAGACCTGAAACTCTGGATCGTTTCCCCATGGAAGGAAGATGTGTGTCACTGGAGTGCTGATAAACCTGAAGAGGAATTATGGGAAATTGTGTTTTTGGTCAGAGCTGCTCCTCCATCTCTAAAATCCTGTCAGAACAGGTGGAAAAATTCTACCAGTGATCAGCACCCCCACACACCCACACACGGTCGCATATCTCTAGTTTAGGGAGTAAATCACACCTGCTCTTATTACGGTTTTCTTTTCACTGTGCCGCAGGTGACGTCCAGAAGGATGCATTTCTGACCGGAGCAGCTAGGAGGTCAGGAGGTCACATACCTCTGGAAGGCACCACTAGAAGCAAATGGTAAGATTCTTATTTAGAAAACGAAAGAAACAGTGTGAGCGGCCATCGGCTGAGGCCGACTGGGGTTCAAGGAGACAGAAGCAGACATAGAAAAAGAAGCATAGATACAAAAGGCAACTGTCAACCAGCTCCATGGACGAGCTCAGTTGATGATGTTGTTGGATATCTTTGGGGTACCTTCTGCTAACCAGGTTTCAGTTAAATCCTTAAGATCTAGCCATAGGCCTGTGGGTTCAGTGTTCCCGTCTTTACATACTGCTCTTAGATTAACAATTAAATGAAGAATTTAGTAGCTGTAGTTTAGCTCATATAGCGTATCTACAGCGATGGTGCAATGATTGTATCAGAATACATGTAGTTAGATCTGTCCTGATCGAGTCACTTTGATCTCCGTTTATGGAGCTTCAGGATCTCCATCAGATCATGTCGGTTCCCTTCTGATGCATCTCTTTGTGTTGGTTATATGGTAGAGAGCAGATGTTTGGTCTGCATTAATGCCTGAGCTTTGCTTCCTGCCAATATCCCCAAAGGCCCCTGAACAGGAAATGAAGGCAGAACCCTTGAAAGTTCTGTTATTCTGGATGTTTCTTGATGTCTGAAATGGTTTCTTGTCCTCAGCTCTGCCGCCATGCCTCCTGGGACGGTGTGTTGTCTGTCAGCATGGACGGTCCAAACCCTGCGGTGCCTGGTGCTTGTCACCGTTGGCTGGCCACTCTTTCCGGCGTTCAGAGGTGTTGCAGGAGGATCAGACTCTTCCCACTCGGACCTTTATCCGACTTTCATGGGGAACAACACGGCGTTTGAGCACCTGGCCCTGCATCCTGACCCCCAGGTTGGATGGGTCTACATCGGGGCCCGGGATCGGCTGTTCCAGCTGAACCCCTTACTGCAGCTCCGGGTCCAGGACGACACGGGCCCGGTCACAGACAGCCCAGAGTGTTTACCTCCTGTGACAGAGAGCAACTGCCCTCAAGCCAGGGAGACCAGCAACCACAACAAACTGCTGCTGGTTGACCCCTTCTCCAGAGAACTCATCACCTGTGGGAGCGTCAACCAAGGAATCTGTCAGAAAAGGAATCTGACATCAATCAACCAGGTGCTTTTTTCCACAGAGAGGCCAGTGGATACTCAGTATGTTGCAGCTAACCACCCCAATGTCAGCACCGTTGGTCTCGTGGTCCGCCCCCACCCGGACAGACAACCGCTGCTGTTTGTGGGACGGGGTTACACCAGCAGCCATCCACCCATCTCCACCAGGAACCTGGCCCAGGAGCCCATCTTTTCTTACGAGGAGACCGCCAAATTGGCCGTTGCTGGCCGTCTCTCGGAGTACGACCATCACTTCGTGGCTTCGTTTGCCCACCGCCACCACGTCTACTTCTTCTTCTACAGGCGGGACCTGAAATCGCAGTCTAGGGAGTACCGCACATATGTGTCACGTGTATGTTTGGACGATCAGGCCTATTATTCATATGTGGAAGTGCCGCTGACGTGTCGCTCTAGGGCAGGAAAGAACTACAACCTCCTCCAGGCTGTGAAGCTCGGCTTCTCCAAGAGCGGCGCTAGGAGCGAAGCCTCAGAGATCCTTCTTGGAGTCTTTTCCACTCATTTGACCTCTTCACCTCGGCCAAGCGAGGACTCTGCTCTGTGCATATTTAACCTCCAAGATGTAGACCGCAGGATTAACTCCACCAGAGACCTGTGCTACACGCAGATGGGCAGAGAGGCAGGATCAGAGGCAGCCTACATCGAATATGAAGTCAAGTCCAACTGTGCCAACCTTCCAGAGGTGAGTCCAACGCTCCGCCATGTTGTTTCTGGTTTCATGGTTAACTCTGCTGAGTTTAACCCACAACTGGCCTGACGTAGTTTGACATTTTGCTTAAATCTTAATTCAGTGGACTTCTTGTAAAGTAAGGAGGGAATTTTGTTCAGTTATTACAGTTATTTAGTTATTACAGTTATTACAAAGAACATGCTTTGTAAATGGAAATTTAAAAAAAAAATCCAGAAACTAAACTTTGAAAAGAAGAGAGGTTTTGGAAGTAACTGCTGTTTTCTCAGAGTTTTTTTTTTTACTCTTTGTTTTCAATTCTTTTTTACAGATTTTATTTTTCCAGGCGTCTCTTTTTCAGTTTGGGTTTTACCAGTGGCAAGCGGTGCATTTGGCCCCTAGGCCTTTAGTGGGCACCCCTCAACTTTATCTACTGCTTAAACCCTTGACGTCAAGGGGTTAATATTGACGCTTTTGCATTTTAATAAAATAAACCAGCAATAGTGTGGCGCAGATACAACAGAGGAAGCTCAGTGTGAGGATGAATACAGAGACCAATTAGCAAATAGCCCCGTTAAGACGACAGAAATTCTCTACTCTACAACCAATGCTCCACCATGTTTACATCATCAGATTAGATATGCATCTAATCACCAGATAAAACGCGCATAAAGGATGAAAATAAAATATTTCAAACTAGTAGACATGCTGATTATTTATAAACAACATTGATCCTTCTGTCTTTGTGCAGGAAGTCTTAGTATCTCCATTTAGCATCAGCCATTGAGGTCAGAAACACTAAATGCAGATTTTAGGGAATCTAAAATGTAGATTGTCGTTAGCTTAACTTGGCTGTAAACAATTCGCTCTAACTGACCAATCAGAGGACAGAAAATGCAGACGTAGGGGCGGGCCCACTAGCTGGCCGAATCTGAAATCTGACTGGTTGAAGAAAATATTCCTAATAATGTTGTTAAGGTAACATCAGCAGCGATGCTGATTCAGAAGACCCTGGGAGGATTTGGTTGACATGGCAACACACTAAGGCTGAAATCTGATTGGACAGAAAATATAGAGACCAGATAAATGTAATGGAAGCAGCGCAGCAAAGAGAAACGCCACGAAATGAAGAGAACGGATTTTGGAATAAATTAATAAATCATGAATGTAGGTTAGTGTTTCTGGTTGATTTTAGGTCAGCAGTGAAGGCTTGAAGGTCCTGACCTGAGTGTTACTAATTGCATTCCTTTGCGGCTGTTGACCAATAGAATGATCTGATTTTCAGTGGAAAGCCTGCCCCCCAGAGGGGAAGAGAGTGATCTGCAAACACAAATAGAAAATAATAAACTTCAGAAAACCCAATCTGGAAAAAATAAGTTTAAAAATTAAATTTAAAAATGCATTTTTAATTAGATAAATCTAAAAATAAAATCTGATTAAAACATCAAAGTTACTCTCAAAGCTCTGTTTGATTCAGAAGCTTTTCAAAGTTTGATGGATTTCATTTTTTCAAACTTCCATTAAAAATGTGTTTGTTTTGTTTTGACATGAAGGATACGGATGGCGTCATCCTGGGATGGCATACCAAGTGTTTTTATTTCTCTTTACCATGGGGTGGGGGTGGGGGTACCTGAAACAACACTATAATCACTAACTGTCTCATTGTTGTAGATGATTTTATCATTTTTTTTGTTTTATGAAAGAAGAATGTTTTATAATTTTTTTTTATTCCATCCTGCAAACATCTAATTTGACCAATCACAGGCACCGGATGCTTGAAGCCATGTGGTAATCGGGTCATTATTTCCATTAACAGTTTTAGAGGAAAAAAAGGGAGCGTAATAAAAACTATTTCCATTATATTTCCAGTTATATCCTGCATGTGTATTCCATTAGCTAAGGGAAAACAGAGCAGGTCTCCTCCCTGCTGTCTTTGCTCTGACTGCCTGACAGCTGCCTGTGAGACGGTGCTGAGGGAAGCAGACTCTCAGCAGAACCGATCCGTTTACCTGATATCTGAATTAAATTTAAATCTGCTAATAACCAGAAACCGTTCTATATCTAATGCTTTATGTTGTTTTAACATGTTTTTTTATTTTTTCTGAGCCTAGGTTCAAATGCTGCCTTAAGCCTGGCTTTAAAAGGCGCATCAAGCCTGGCTTTAAACGGCACATTAATACTGGATTTAAACAGTGCATCAAGCCTGGCTTTAAACGGCACATTAATACTGGATTTAAACAGCAGATCAAGCCTGGCTTTAAACGGCACATTAATACTGGATTTAAACAGTGCATCAAGCCTGGCTTTAAACGGCGCATCAAGCCTGGCTTTAAACGGCACATTAATACTGGATTTAAACAGCAGATCAAGCCTGGCTTTAAACGGCACATTAATACTGGATTTAAACAGCAGATCAAGCCTGGCTTTAAACGGCACATTAATACTGGA